CATAGCTCTGGCACGATCAAAGTCTCTCAGCTTTCGTCTTGGTGGCATGTTGAGGCGATACTGGATTTTGCGCAAACGGCGGCTTATATTGCCACGAAAGTGAGCACAGTTCGAGACCGTACGTCCGTTTATCACACGCACCAGAAATTTTAACTGAGGAATGTCCGTGGTGTTGCACACAAGTCGATACAAAAACAGCAAATTTGGCTAAAATTCCACGAGGATTTCCGTGAAGCACGTGGTAGTTTTGTCCCTTTGGGAAGCTTTGCTGTACACATTGGTGACCATTAACAATTTGAGAGCACCAAATTTTAAGGATTTTTAAAACATCAAGGCTGTCTGTCAAGGGGGTCCTTACTTTATGGTGAAGTATGTATGTTCCCTGAGCAGCCAGCAGAGTGGCTGTAACACGAGTCTTCATTTCCTTCATTTTGAAATGTACAAACTCCACGTACACTGTCTGTCAGTATACGCAGAGTTTTGTTTGGGGCATTTGGGAGTAATTGTATACGTGACCGATCATCTATAGATTTCAATACGACTGGAAACTAGATGCTCATGTTCCCACAGTCTGTGTATCCTTTTTCCACATCCCTTAAATGCCATACATTGTATTTCCAGAAACTTCCTATACACCATGTTTTCACAATTAAGTAAAGTTTGACCCATCAATTCAAACTCCCAGAACTAGTGCGCAACATCCGGCATCGCTATGGGGTTGTGGTTATGTGGTTATGTGGTTTGAGGAAGCAGACAACTGCACGCTGGCTGTGATCATCACAATGTTCGAAGACGTGTGGGGGGTTTCAACTTTACCCTTACCTTTACATTCACGACCACAAGGTAGGAGAAATGATACAATTGGTCGCTTCAAGCACAAAGAGGCTATCCTGAAAAATGCTGTTTTGAGAAAATGGAAGGTAAAGTGTTTGAGCTCTTGTTCAGTTTCTTTAAAAGACAAGGAGAGTTTTCTCTATAACCAAATATACACACCGATGAAACCAAACTTCTCAAAGTTGGTAGGGCAATGCCCACGTTTGGTTTAGGTCAAGATTTCTGGAAACTCCCAAAATCCAGATTAGCCCGCTTGTCCTTAAAAGCGACCAATACTATTATGGAGAAATAAGATCTCTGGTCCACGAGAGGAAAACGATGTTTGTTAAGCTAGACAACGTTGGACGTCGCTTCGGTCACGTGGTCCGACGAGGTCTCCTCATGTTTGGTCACGTGGTTGTGGGCGGAGGACACGCTAGGGTACAGGTTCGAGTCCATGTGGTGGTCTCGGAGGTTGGAATCCGTGCCGTGGTGACTATTGTTGAGGTGGTTGTTCGGCGCGCCGTTCTCACGGACAGCGGGTGTTGTAAGCGGAATGCACGACTGGTTCCCCACCGCGTGGGCGGGTCCGCCCGGAGGTTTCCGACCCAGAACTCGCCGGAACTGTTCCCAGACGCGGGAAAACCTTCCCTGGACGCAGGCGGTGTTGGAGGAGTTTCTGTTGGTGCCGGGGGAGCCGTTGATGGTGTGGGCGGTGTGGGCGGCCTGGGATGTCTGACGGTGGGCCATGCTGGTGGGTCGGGAC